CTATGCGTCGCCAAATTACCTATTTAGCCTGTTCCCTTTCCCCGTTTCCCTATATATTGCTTTCCTGTCTTAATTGCTACTTGTTTATTGATGCTTCCATGTCTAATTGCTTCTTGTTAAATGTTGTTTCTCTATTGATGTTATTAATTGTTACGTAGTTTCATCATATCACACTGTTGGTTTACGTTGGTTTATTGATGATTTGTGGTACACTTTGGTTGGTCTCGCTGTGTAGTAATGACTGATGAAGTTCAATAATTGTAGTGATCTTCCGTTGTGTTGGTTTGAGGTATAAGTGTTGTGGAGGATTTGAATTAATTTGTGAAATACTTGTTCTTAATTTATGATTGGTACTGAAATAGTGGGATCGGATTGCACGCCGCAACAGGAGGAATAAGGGTGAAATGTGATTGTCTGGTGGGATCGGGTTGCACGTCGCAACAATGAGTAATAAGGGTGGACAGGTGGGATCGGGTTGCACGCCGCAATAGGAGGAACAAGGGTGATGTATTGAGGAGTAATAAGGGTGGACTGGTAGGATCGGGTTGCAGGCCGAAACAAGGAGTAATAAGGGTGAATATTTATACTGTCATTGATTATATGGTGGGATCGGGATGCGCGCCGCATCATTTGTTGTCTATGTATTCTTCTTCTGCTGAGTTTCATTATTGTGGTGTTGAAACTCCCTTAAGGATTGGTTATAGCTGAGTATTGGTAGAACGACTGGGTTCCGTATTTATTTAATGCAAGTTACTGTTATATTTCATTCCGTATTTCCTTTCTGTCTTAGTATAAACTGTTGCAGGTTATATATTGTTATGCCTCGCCGTAGCCTCGTCACTACTTCGTCGAGGTTAGGCTCGGCACTTACCAGTACATGGGGTCGGTTGTACTGATACTGCACTCTGCACTTTCTGTGCAGATTTCGGAGCTAGTGGCTGATCGAGAGGTTGGTTGTTGTTACTGCATTCAGGAGACCCAAGGTAGTCCTGCAGGCGTCCGCAGGCCCTGGCGTCCCCTCCTATCTTTACTTCATTTATGTTTTACTTTCTTCGAGACAAATGTATTTTTCCTTTAAAACCCATGTTTGTAGTTAATTATAGAACGTTCGTGAGTTGTGACACCAGTTTCTCTGTGGTATCTATTTCAGCTTTCGTTAATAGTATAAGGGTAATCGTTTAAATCATGTACTTCTGCTTTTATTTTTGCTGAATTAGTTTTGTTGAATTTTAATTATACAAGGATAAAGGAAAAGGGTAAAATATTTTATAACGTTGGCTTGCCTAGCGAGTGCAATATTTGGCATCATCACAATCTCGAAGGTGGGAAATTCGGATCATGACACTCTTCTTATTGAAACCTCATGGTAGGGAGAAATTTTACTTTGTACGATTACGCAACTAAGACAAATTTTGTGAGGGTTGTCTTTATTTGTCAAATGGAGTTTGTGACAAAAATTCAAGATTTTGGTTCATAAGTTTGACTTGTCAAATATAGACGAATCCTCACACAACTTATGTCAATTTTATAAGACACAAATTATCTTTTGTTTTTTACCTTGAATAATGTAAAGTGCATGAAGTTGACTTTAACATAGCAGTACAATATAATAATTTACACCATCAATATAAATTCACTAGGTATAACATATTACCTTTTATTCTAGATTATCCATCAACAATATTAAATATAGTTACTTGTAATTATTTTTTTTACTAACTTGATTGTGAATATATTTACACCGTTAATTTATAGAATTTAAACTCATTAAATTTTGGCCTAAAATTCACTAAATCTGTCTCTTCTTTTTTCCTTGCGCTCCTTCTGTAAGCTCTAATACTAAAATAATGCACTTCATTGGCTTTTGTTGTATAAAAACTCGGAATAGGAAAACTAGAAATAGATAAATAACTAAAATAGTAGTAGTAATCTGTTACTCCCCCCCGTATCTTAGCCTCATTCTTTTATATCGAGTTAATTTTATCGATGGTCATCGAATTTTTGTGTTTGTTACTGAAAAGTCACTTTTTTTGTTACGTAAAAATCATTTAATTTTGTGTTCATTACTCAAAAGTCACTTTTCTTTCTTTTGTTACACAAAAATCATTTTACTTTACTCTGGTTATCACAAAAGTCACATTTGCCAGATTTTATAATATCTTTACTTGAAAAGTATATTATGCCCTTGATATTATATGTAATACCTTCTATATTATACACGATATAATATATACCTAGGTATTTTATTTATAACAAAAATTACTTAATATTATTTTATTTATTATTTTTATAATATATTCGTATATTTAATTTTTCCAACGTTAATTTTCAAGATATATTAGTAACGTTATTAAATTTATCAGTAACTTTACTATGAATAAATCTTACTTCAACATTCTTAACCACTCCTATAAAATATTTTTAATAAGAATTATAAAATCAAAGCTCACAGATTTATTAATCAAGCCATATTTGTTAATCCACTAAATAAAATACCAACATTTAGTAAACTCACACATCAAATTAACAGTTTTAAATAAATAATATCAACAGATAAAGTTAAAATTTAATATTAAACTCCAATATTTTTTTTAAAAAATTAAAACTTTTGCTAACTATAAAAAACTATCATTTGTTAAACAAGTCTGATTTGTTATTTCAAATAAATATTTTTTTTGTTGTTTTCATATTTGAAAGTATGTTCATGCTTGAATATGATTAAACAAATTCGTTATCATGGGAAGATTAAACATACCAATATATTATAAAAATAATAAATAAAATAATATAATTTTTTTTAATTATAAGTAAAATTCCTTATAAAATAAATAATCTAAAATATATTACATAAATTAGAGGATTTATAATGTCAAGGGCATAATAGACTTTTCAGGTGAAGGTTTTATAAAATCTATCAAAGTGATTATCGCGATAACTAGGCCATAGTAAAATAATTTTTGTGTAACAAAATAAAGAAAAGATTTTACTTTGACACGATAATCACTTTGACAAGATAATCACTTTGACAAGATTTTATAAAACACAGGTAAAATTAAAAATAAAATCAGTTAAGGAAATATTAAATGTACGCATATATTGTAAAAATAATAAATAAAATAATATTAAGTTATTTGAGTTATAAATAAAATACCTAGATAAAAATATATTATATAGTATATAATATAGAAGGCATTATATAAATATAAAAATTTATATAATATCAAGGGCATAATAGACTTTTCAAGTAAAAATATTATAAAATCTGGCAAATGTGACTTGTGATAACTAGAGCAAAGTAAAATGATTTTTGTGTAACAAAAAAAAAAGAATAATGACTTTTGAGTAATGAACACAAAGTTAAATAAATTTTACGTAACAAGAAAAAGAAAAGTGTCTTTTGGATAACAAACACAAAAGTCAATGACCATCGATAAAATTAACTCCTTTTATATCTGTTCTTTTAGTATTCCCTTTCCATTAATTGATTCAAGAAGAGTTTCTAGTCTTTAAGCAATCTCTATATTCTACGCAAGTTTGGCATAAAAATCTAGTATAAATGATAAAGAAAGAATCTGTATATCCAAATTGCATAATATTGAAAAGTGAAACATTATCAACCAGAAGAAGAAATCAACTAGACGAATATTATGGGGTCAACTAATATAGCATGTTCTTGGGCTGCAATGAAAGTCAAAATGATTGGCCCGTGGCTACCACAAGACATCGCGTGTCACATTTTGATATGTCTATTTCGGATTTGACATTTTTATATTATCTACCTCGCACAGCATAATTTTTGTTGAATTATTTCTTTCCATTATAACGAATTTGGAAAGTAGGGTATCAAATCTAGAACTTTTATAGAAAATAATTCAGCCATCTCTTTGAAATACAAAAGAGGATTAGGCGGAATCTATTTATAAATGAAATGAGATATTACAAAAAGGTTTTAACTTCTGTGCATAAGCAAAGTATAATTCTTTAATATACCGTTGGGTTAAATTAAACTATGACCACATGTAGATATGTAAGAAATATTAATTTGGTAATACAGAAAATCAACTATATATATAACTAGTTAAAATGTATTAATGTGTAAAATAATTTAAACCGTTAGTGTAAATAAGATAAATAGTGCTACTTTAATAAGAAGGTCAAGACTTTGAAAGTTGCTAGCTTACTTGTTCGTGTGGGTTCTATTATGATGGGGTTGGTTAGCTGCTCATTTCGGACAAGCAATAACAGGGTTCTTTTTCTTTATTTATTATTTTCAACAAGCAGGAATAGGGATTCTTTGTCTTATTGTGTCAGTATTCTCTTGTTGGTTTATCTTTTGAGAATTCGACAATTGATTGCGTATTCTTCTGGTATAACTGTCAAGTTATGTACACTTCAAATGAGAGATGGAAAGGCATTTGATGAAGAAAGAATTTCAAGATTGTTGGAAACAAGTTGAAGAGAATTTTGTTTTTCTTTTCTGTGGGGGAAAGGCTTGACATATGGAAAGAGAAAAGGAAGAGATGTAATATAAGGTAGAAACATATATGGTCAATTCGTTGTTGCATTTGGAAGGATATTTTTATTTTTCTCTTTTGGGCGGTGAGCTGATTCAACTTCTCCGAATTTAGATAGATAAATAGATAGATAGAGAGGTACTCACTGGCTCCTGTAAAATTGGCACATTCGGAACATCAGCCTCCACATTTCAAGCTTTAGTGCCTCAGAAGGGGAGCCTTAACGTAACTGGTAAAGTTGCTGCCATGTGACCAAGAGGTCACGAGTTCGACCCGTGTTAACAGCCTCTTGCATAAATGCAGAGTAAGGCTGCGTACAATAGACCCTTGTGGTCCAGCCCTTCCCCGGACCCCGCGCATAGCGGGAGCTTAGTGCACCGGGCTGCACTTAGTGCCTCAGAAAATCCGTTGACAATAAAGCAACTTTCTTTACATCTTTACTTGACATATGAGCTGCTTTTAAAATGTAACATAACCACTATCAAGGGCACAACAAGTCTAATTCCTGCTTTCTCATCAGAAATATATCCAAAGCTAAACCAAATTCATTATGTGTGGGCTAAGAAATTCTACTCTGTTGTCATTTTACAAGTCAATGAGGTAAAAGGGTTCCTATAACAGACTCAAATACAAACTCCTCCTCCCCTCCCCAAACAAATCCCTGTACAAATAGTGATAAAGCAAAGGACAAATGATTAATAATATGAAAAGAACCATGTATAACACAGCTTGAAATTCATCTGATCTAAAATTCTTCACGGACTTCAGGGTCCTCATAAGCAGGAGCCTCATAACTACCAGACTCTTCAGAAGCTTCAAGGCTCGTATACGTAGTTGATTCACCATAATACGAGTCCTTGGGGGCCTCGGAACTTTCAGCTATACTATCCTTGTGAAATTCATCTGACAGGGTTGCATCGACTTCTATTTCCTTTAGTTGGAGATATACAAGTAAATGCTCCATTCCGTTAACTAAATCATACACCATCAGCCCAACCTTTCCTCCAACCCAACTGCCCAACTCGCTTCCAACCAGGTAACCAAACCTACCCATGGTCTGCTCCCCTAGATAGCCAACCCAATAGGCGCCAAATAAGGTACCCGAACCCCTCAGGAACCCCTCAGTGGGTGTACCTCCAAGATAAAGTGCTTCAAAAAAGTCCCATCCCCCAGAAATAATCGGACCAACAATGCGCTTGGTTTGTCGAACGGCCAGTTTTGCAGCTTTTGCTCCTTCTTTCTGAGCTAGCTTAGCTGCCTCTTTTGCTGCTATGCCTTGTGACACGGCATCAGTCAGAGCAGCCTCGATTGCTGAGTTCCTTGCTCTCTCCACATGAGAAGACCTGATGTTATAAGCATACAGCTTCACGCCTTCCTTGACCAAACATGCTACGGTTCCTGTACTCCCATCAAAACAGTGCAACCAAGTAAACTCCCCACTCTTCGATGCAGCCTCTTGACCAACCAACTCCCTACATTTTTCAGCTGTAAAGCAACAAGATAATAGAAAATTGATTGGTATACATAAAATAAGGTGGAACAGAATAAGCAAAGCACCAAATAATGGTATGTAGGACTGTTAAACTGAAGAAAACCCTTATCCTTAAAAGTTGTGACCATGTCAATAATACAGTTCAAAGCACAAAATACTAAGAAAAAGTTGCCTCAATATAGCCCCTTGATGAAACTGATGCTAGGTAGGGAAATAAATGCAGATTATGATGTACGGACATAAAAGTATCCTGTAACAATTTACCTTACCTTATCCCCCAAAAAAAGTGTCCTGTAGCAATGAATGCACAATATGATAACAAAATTGGAACATCTCAAAGGTTTAAAAACTTCCAACATTCAACGCAAAGTGATTGCTTGAGAACAATGAACATAGTAAGCACTCGACCCACCTAGCACGTAACTTCAGGACTTGAGCATGAAATACTTTCTCTACAAGATATTAACCACGATAGGTAAAAAGAAGTAAAAACTTTAAGGAGTCAAAACCACAAGATTAATCTAGAGGGAGCAAATGGAAAAAATGAAGAATTGATAAGGCGGGGTATAAAATTGATTACTCTATAAAAAATGGAGTGCACTTTTAGCTTCAGGAGTTGCTCTCAGCAATTGACTCATCCAACATTCTAATGTCAAGTGAAAGTCGTCAGCAACTCCAGGTCGGAGATTGGTCAGTAAGTCGTACTATCTTACCATCATACGCTTGAATAACTCATTCGGTATTGATATTGCTAGTCAAAATTTACAGGATCCTTGTGGCAGTCATTGGGAAGCAGTGGTATGCATCCATCAATATATCAAGACTCACCAGGGACAAAGCGTTCAATATGAAGACTGAATGAACGCTTATATTACAGGAGATACCTATACAGATCGGTTAGGCCATCCAGATAGTCCATATTCGAACACTATGTTTGATAAACGGAAACTTGACATGTGTGATTTTGGAGCAGCATCTTTTGCAGAATTAGAAGCCATAGAAGTCTGCTGAGAACTACCATGAGTCAGGTCCAATTGGAACAAGAAGCTTGCTTCCATCATTGACACCCCTAGGAAGAAGAAGATTCTTATGGTGTCAGAGAACCTCCTTTTGGCTCCATGAAAAACTACGAAGCAAGATGTGGTTGCAAGGTCCAAGGTAGAGGATGAGAACCAAGCTACCACCGTAGCGACATGTGAGCTTATGTGATTAAAACAGCGGTTTCAAAAGTTAAGTTCGGAAAGAATACACAAATGGAATTGATAATTAACAAAAGGCACGAAATACACGGTCTCCACTTTAGTCTTCCATATAGTAATTACCAAACATATTTGAGATCGATCAACACTTTATTTGTGAAAAATCCAATCTTAACTCATCTCCATCGATTTCATTAGTCCAAATGATCAGCTAGCAGATGCATTCAACAAGACGCTCCGAGGCCTGGGAATTAATCATATATGTGACAATCTAGGAGCCTATGACCTATATGCTCCACCTTGAAGAACCGTGTCAAGAATATTTCCTGATTCATCTAAAATACTCCAGATTATTCTGTAATGATTAAGATATTGCTTCTATTTCACAGAATCCTTGTAAATATGTTTACTTGTTAAAGCAGGCAAACAATTCCTCAATAAAGAGTTGTGCATCGACTTTAACCATCAAGACAAGTGGTCTTTGTCTTCTCTCATCTCTCTTTTTACACGGTTCAGCATTCCAACTAGGTATGTGCTTCACAAATCACAAAGATAGTTCTCATGCCTTTTTATCCTAGAATGGTAGGCATAATATATAAACAACAAAAAATTAATAAGCCGGGTATTGTTAACTTCACAGCATATCCCGAAGATGAAAGTAGCAGAAATGGGGATGTTGAGGTGGATGTGCGGGCACACTGAGATGGATAAGATTAGGAATGAAGATATTCGGGAGAAGGTGGGCGTGACTGCCATGGATAACAAGCTACTGGAAGCTAGGCTCAGATAGTTCGGGCACGTTCAGAGGAGAAGTCCAGATGCCCCGGTAAGGAGGTGCGAGCAGCTGGCTTTGGTGGGCTCAATGAGAGGTAGAGGGCGGCCTAAGAAGTATTGGGGAGAGGTGATCAGGCAGGACATGGCGAGGCTTCAGATTACGAGGGTCATAGACATGACCCTAGATAGGAAGTTGTGGAGGTCGAGCATTAGGATCGTAGGTTAGGAGGTAGGCATGCATATTCCTACGGCGCGCCAGAGTGAGACTAGTCTGTTAGGATTTTGTCTTAGACTGCTAGTGGTTAATGTTGAGTTCACATTACTCTTTCGTTCCTCTAGTGTCGGGTTTTATCTACTGGTTATTGTTTTGCTTTTCGTCTATGTTCTTGTGATGCTGTTATTTCTTTCTAAGGTTTATTGATGGTACTAATATACTGTCTTCTTTTCGTCTTCTTCAGCCTAGCGTCTATCGGAAACAGCCACTCTACCCCTCGAGGTAGGGGTAAGGTATGCGTACACACTACCCTCCCCAGACCCCACTTGTGGGATTTCACTAGGTTGTTGTTGTTGTTGTACTATCACTAAGGAATTGGAGACCTACGATCTTGTGATATAAGCTTACCCATCTTCTTCCCTTTTCTCCATCTTATTCTTTCATTTGTCTTTTAATATCTCTTAATCATAGATGGGGTTCTTTACCCTTTTTCGATCGTAAAAACTGTGTTTACCATGTCAACTTCTTCTTCTTTGGTTATCTCTTTATTTTATATCCTCTCAAATAATTAAAAAGAATCTAAAGTTTCCACTTCATGTCATAGCCACCAGATTAAACCTCCTTATAGATGCCTTTTCCCGTTTTTAGTTTTTTATGGAGAAATTTCTTCTACACCACTATTAGAGAATCTTATGCGTGTAACAACTACTATTAGCAAGGGGATAATATCCCTTAAATGTAGCCTTAATTATTGAAATGAGTACTGAGATTCACATCTCTCCTAATTAAACCATATTCCTATGTTCCATCAGAACTTCATTTCTGATATTGTATACTTTATACCTTCAAATATCCCATATATTCTAAACATACCACAATATTCTAATTTGGAATACAATTCAAATCGAATATATCACAATATTCTAATGACAAGTATAATATCTAAACCAAGCATATCACAGTATTCTAATTTAGAATATATTATTCAAACTAAATATACCATAATATTTTAATTTGTAATACACTATTCAGATACTATAATATTCTAATTTGGAATACAACAATCAAACTAAATATACCATAATATTCTAATTTGGAATAAGTATTCAAACCGAACATACTATAATATCCTAATTGGAATATAATATTCAAACCAAATATATATATTCTTCATTAAATTATTGTAATTTGGTATACATATTTGAATACTATATTCTAAATTAGAATATTATGATATGTTTGATTTGAATACTATATCAAAATTAGAATATTTTCGTACGTTTGATTTTAATATTTTATTCCAAATTAGAATATTGTGGTATATTCGATTTGAATATTGTATTCTAAATTAGAATATTATAGTTGTTTGATTTAAATATCGTAGTCTTCATTAGGATATTGTAGTGTACTGGTTGGAATAGCATATTCTAAAATTTTATTTTAGTTTAGATACTGTATCCCAAATTAGTAGGGCTGGTCAAAACCAAACCGTTAACCGAACCGCAAAAACGGCTTATTGGCTTATTGGTATCGGGTTATCGGGGTAATGGTTGGTGAACGGATTAAAATTTTATAATTAACTGTTTAACGGTTTGGGGGCGGGTTACTCAATTTCCTTATTGGGTAAACTGTCCCATTAAGAATTTTTATATTTATAGTTTTACCCCTATGTATATAAATTAATATTTGAAACCTTAAATCCCTAATTTATTAAAACTCAATTCGTCTCTTTTTTCTCTTCTCTATCACCTAAATCCATAATTAAAATTTCTCCCAATCTCGTATGTATGATTGGATTTGTTTGATTTTCCTATGGTAATGGTATTTAACATTTTTAAGCTAAATTGAAGTGGGAAATCAAGGTCATGCTGAACCACTAGGAATGACTTGAACCGTACATGCATGACAAACAGACTTGGCACAAAATCAATCAACTGGATAGGTATATATACATACATCTGAGCAGATGTGATGCTTTACTCTAAATTTTTCCTTATCTCTTAATCTCAATTTTTTTTAATTGTCTATTTGATTTAGCCGATAAAATGCGCGATAATCGCTAATCCGATACCAATCCGCCCGATGTCTTATTGGATGGCTAGTGGATTACTATATTTATAAATTGATAACCGATAAGTCAAACTGTTAACGTAAATATCCGCCCGATAAGCACCCCTACAAATTAGAACATTTTCACCTTATTTTGTTTTTCTTTTGATTACATAGATGAAAGAGAAGAAAAAGATTACGAAGGACTTCATAGAGAAATTACTGGGATTTGGACTTTTTGGTGAACAGGTATAGTTCCAATTCCTTAAAACGTGGGATGATGGAGTGTTTTAAGGATTTATTAAGTTGGAGAGGGAGATAATTTAGTTCCTTAAAAGGTGGGATTTATTTAATGGCATATAATGATATTAAAAATTTAAAAAGTAATAAACTTTTGTAAAGTAGGTATACAAGGTAAAATAAATATTTCAAAGCTATATGGAGTTAATTGGCATTTCCAGTGGGCACACTGTGTAGATTCCTCAATAAGGAATTCCAACAATTCACCTTGTTTTTTTTCAAAAATTATGCTCATGCGTATTTCACAACAGAATATAATGTGGGATAAAAGGGATAGGAAAGGATATTCCATCTTGATGAGAGGATAATAGCCACCTAATCTATGAAAAACATGGGTTATTTGTAAGGATGCCAAGTAGTGTTTGGTTGGTATTGTTGAGCGGATGAGTATCAGTCCTATACCAAACATTTGGTTAGAAGGCAGGGGGTTTCATTGTGCATGCTAGCTTTGAGCCAAGGGTCTATCAAAAACACCCTTTCTAACTGCACAAGATAGGGTGTAAGGTTGTGTCCTCACTACCCTCCCCAGACCCTACTTGTGGGATTATACTAGGTGTATTGTTGTTGTTGTTGTAGCAGGCAGGGGGTTACAAATGTGGATGTCCCCCTAAAGGAATTGGATTTCAAGATCTTTATCAAACAAAAGGGAGTGGATTCCAAGATATGCAGAGTACTTGTCTTCCTTTAGTTAAAGGATTTAACTGAAATTTAAAAGAGCTTAAATCTAATTACTCATTATGGATACTTGAAGAGAAATACAGGGGTGTTGAAGAAGTGGAGAACCCATGGTTTGATTAGTCTCCATTGCACAGGGATTTGGTAGGGAGTCATGCATATTTAGAAAACTTTCTCTAATTAATCAAGAGGAAACAGTAGATTAGGTAGGTGAAATCCAGGTTTCTTTTATACGTGGTTCTTTACTATTTTTTCGATCATTAAACCCGTGTTACCATGTCAAAATAAGAAAAGAAATAAATGAAAAGCAGACTCCCCAAACTCTACATCACAATCTAGTATATTTGCATAAGCAGTACAACCTTTCATTCTTGTCGCCTCAAGAATGTCGATAGCATGATATTGTGAGATGATTGTGCTTCATCTAGACTTAGCAACCTTAAAAATCGTTAATCACAAGAAGCTTAAAGAGATGTTTCAACTTAGCAACGTTCTTCTAAAGACTGTCCATAATAACTATCTTTTGATGACGACTCTGTAATAATTATGTCATCAACACAGCTCAATGCAATTTCTAAAGCTAAATACAGAACTTGTTATATTTTGGTAAAAGAGGAGGTACTGGTGAGTATATAAGCAATTTGGACTTGTTTGCTAATTGTGATTAAGCTACTTCTTCACTTGTATATAATTCTTTCCACACTGAGGGTACTGAAGAAATGCAGCCTTGTGGAAACACTGAGAAATGCATTCCACACTGAGGCTGTTTTCACTTGTGGACTTGTTTGCTAATTTGGACTTGTTTTCACTTGTGGAAACAGCCTCTTGTAGAAATGCAGGGTAAGGTTGCGTACAATAGATCCTTGTGGTCCGGCCCTTCTCCGGACCCCGCACATAGCGGGAGCTTAGTGCACCGGGCTGCCCTTTTTTAGGATACTGAAGAAATGGTAATTACTTAAATTACCAAAAAGTTGATATATGTACTTTTCTTTGGAACCATCTTGGCGCATATTCATTGAAATGATTATTTGATTTATCAAAGAAGAAAAGGGGCAAGACATTACTGTTTGCGCATTCTTTTTTTTATTTCTCACACAGTGTAATAGGGAAGAGTCCTTATCCAACTATAATTTCCTTACTTTCTAACTGTTAGAAGGAAAGTTTGCCCGGGGGATTGTTAAATAAAGCATTTGACTAAAAGAATGTAGCACGCTTGCAAATTGCAAGAAAGAGTAGCTATAACTACTGTAAGAACTTAAAAACTTAATGACACTGATAAAGAAAAGTGAATCTTTTCCACATTTCCGAGCGCAGACTAAACATAGATAAAACCTGCACTTTGCCAAATTTATTTCAACTTTGACAGATTATATGCACCTTTCTACATTCATGTATCAGCCAAGAACCCCTAGATCTAATCTTTTACACAGTGGTACAGGCAACTGCTACCCTCTTTCACTTCAATTTCTTCATTAAATACAAAATCCTGTTATATTATATACATTTACCTCCAAGTCTCTACAATCAAGAATTAATCTGGATCAAGTTGTCCAAACAAACTAACAGAATTCTCAAATCCACACTGTTGAACTCTCACTTATGCGTAAGTTATCACCCACACTATATGCTTAAGAACTTAAAAATGTAATTTTATTTCACTACAAATCAATAGAGCTGTAAAAGTGGTCGGGGCCGGATCTACCATGTATCCTAACCCGGTAGCTTTTGTCCAACCCATGTATCTCTATTAAGAAATCCACTAAAATTATATAGATATTTGATTGTGAACCAAAATATTATTGCATGTTAACTTGAAGTCACTGTAGGAACCCATAAACTTCAAATCATGAATCGACATCTGCGGGCGGTCAACACCTTTGTTGCATATAGAAGCCCAAACGCACACACTGGGTCGTAAAAAACTAAAGCTAAGTAGTCGAAAAAGGTGAAATCAAGGCTTTGTTAGATCCCAAATGATTAAGCTTAAGTCAACTTCAAGATTAGTTCAATTAATACTCAGGCCTTAATAAACACACAACACTCAACTTGAACAAATACTTATAAAATCGATAGCAATTAAACATTTTTAGACCAAAAAAAGGAGGTAAATTACTCGAATCAAAGAAAAACATCGATTTGGGTACATACCAGTGATGCTAAGAAGGATGAGACCAACGAGAAAGAGAAGAACTTGAACCCTCTTTTTCTCAATCATTGAACCTTAAATTACTACACCACAACCCTAAGGGAATAAATCGCGTAATCTAAGAAGCCGGGAACGATGGATCTGCAGCAGTTTGGGTAGAGTATAAACTTAACTCAGAAGGCAAAAAGAGCGGTTTGGAATAAATGTGAAAGCAAAATAGAACCTTAATTATTTTATCTTTAATTTTTCAGTCCCGTTAATAAGCGGGAGACCTAAAAAAAAAAAAACGACCAAAACTTACTTGGAAGTTGGAACAGGCACACCGTACTGTTCAAGTCTTACCGTTAAACCAAGCTCATTAGTCATTTCTTTCGGAATTAAATAGAGAAATTATTATATTCTTATTCATAATACAAAATTCTCGTTAATGGTAAATTGATATTCCTAATGCAGAGTACTATAACACAACAAATTAAATGCTGCCTTATTTAGATAGTCCTTTCGGACCATTTTAATTGATTTTTTTATTGTTCTCACACATATTAATAAATCCACTTTTTAACATTAAAATTAATAATAAAATAAACTATATTTATCTTTATTATCTCTTTAATTTGTTCATTGAAAATATAAAGATATTCCAAGACTCTTTACTCCAAGGGTAACTTTAGAACAAAGAAGTTAATTTCTGCTTGATATCTGAAAAAGTCAAATATTATGAACCACAAAGAAGATGCCAAAAAATTAATTAAAATAAATTAGAAAGAGTGAAGTTTTAGAGATCCAACATTGTATTCATAATGCAGAAATTAAATTGTACTAATGCAGAATATTTATGTTAGAAGCCAAACGATGTACTATATTGTGTTAGAATCATTTTCTCCTATGTAGCCAACCTAAAGACCACTTTCGTCTTATTACAATTTTATGTATGTTACAAATGATCCACAGTCTGTTTACTAACTGCGTTTTTCTTTTTTCTTTTTGGGAGGCTCAGACAAGTGATAGGATAAAGAAAGAAATGAAAACATCTGTTTACCTCGAAAATACGAGTAACAATTAAATTTGATTTGTGATTTTAAAGAGATGTGATTTAGTTCAATACCAATTAATAATCATGAAGTGTGAGGTATAAATGAAAGAAACAAGTGAAACAAACCAGTGTTACTCAAGCAGTTTTGACCTCGATGAACCAAGAACAATAAAGTAAGAACAGTTGAGAGAAAAGACAAGTCTGATGAGCAATGAGCCAGAAAGTAAGATAGCATATTCTTTGCCACTGATTAGATGATGTTACAAATGATTGGGGTGCCCTTTATATAATAGGGAAACCCTAAATAAGGTACATTTCTATTTACAGTAAGGAATATTATTGGTACAGCTGTCTAACCTCCTAGTACGGAATCGTACAATTCTATACCGGGATTTTCGCCATGAGTTTGGGGACGTGGCAGGAATCTCGCTCATTCTGTTAGAAATTCATAACGGCACTATTTCGGGGCCGAGTGCACTCGGCTTCGGTGTTCATCATACTTCAAACTTCGGGACTTGCACTCTGTCTTCGAGCTCGAGTCTGGTCCTTTGGGCTCGAACTCGACCTTACCTGAACTCGTGCTTAAGGCGATCCCTCGAGCCTGGGGAAATCGGGCATCCCCGATTTCGACCATATACAAATAGTCCCCGCGTTTCTTAGAATAAGATGATAAGAAACGACTTGAACCTTGATCTCCCGGAGTCTCTGACGATGATGTCGTTCCATGACGTAGGCATTTGAAGTGACCGAAATGTCCCGTCAGTTCGCTTCCCCAAAACATTAAATGCACGCCAGTAATGGTCGGCCACTAGCGTCGTCGAACTGTCACCCCTCATCTATAAATATGGTGTTCTTTCTTTGAACTAAAAACTTTACCTCTTCATTGTATTTACTCTGCTCACTTTTTCCTCTTCATCTCCTTCTATTCTAATTACTTTTTACTCCGGTCACCGGAAAACTTCAAGCTCCCGTAAAACACCACACTCTGCTACCGCCTGCATTCCTTAGTTTTAAACATATGGCTAAAACTTCCAAAATAGTCCCCCAAAAAGAGAAGGTATTGTCTTCTTCTACTTCCCGGTCGGCCAAACCGGTGGCGCCACCGGCTCTTCACGAAATTACCCCCGGCCCTTGCGTGATAAAGAAGGATTTTAACATCGAAAATCCTCCTGATATCCCTGGCCGATGCGAACATATATCTCGATACATCAGTTCGATATCGAAGAAATACCTCAAAGCCATGAAGAAGGACTGCAGCTGGGGAGACGAGGTCGTGGTTCAGATCCCAGGCCCCGAGGAGAGCATCACTACTCACGTGGAGGGGTTTTTAAGTGTTTGCACTTACCCCTTCACACTGGGTCCCCTTGATCCGGTAGTGATCGACTTCTGCAAAACATACGAGGTCACCCTCGGCCAGATCCATCCCTCCTGGCGCATCGTGATCATGTTGCGCTATTTTTTCGGAAAGGTCGAGAGGTTGGAATTTACCCTCAATCATCTTATTCGGCTGTATCGGCCACAGCTGTTTCGAGGGCTCATTAAGATGCAACGTCGAACAAAGAAGACCTTCTTTGCTAGTAACGATGAAGACAAAGATCGAGGCTGGATGAGTCGGTTCATCAGAGTAAGGACTTCGGATGTCATCCCCAGGGACAAAATACCGTTCCCGGAGAGATGGAACTTTAATCGTAAGTAGAGTTCCTTAACAAATACTTCTTCATATTTTGCTTTCGTGTTCCATAATGTTTTTATCTTTTCTGCAGCTGTTGCTTGGACGCCTCACGCTATCCCTGACCTCGAGGAATGGGTCCAAAAGTTAGCTGCCACCTCCTCGTATGATGAGCGCAAATGGCGCGATTTATCTGGGGTAAATGGGAGGCCAAGCATCATGGTAAGTTCTCTTCCCAAGATTTGATACCTTTCTTTTACTGGTGATGTCATCTCATTCATGTTTATTTGTGCAGGCATCGGAGATGTCTCCTAAATGAGGCCAGCACCGCCTGGGGAAGGGACCGAGTCCCCGATTCTGAAATCGGGGAATGACAACAAAAGAAAGAGGGCTTCGAAGCCCGAAGATACCTAGGATGAGGCGGCCCCTACTCGGAAGCCGAGGGGAAAACTCATTCATGTGGACTTGGATTTGGCCATTCAACACCTGGAAGACGAAGAGAACGAAGGTGAAGAATCGGCGCTGGTACCCCGAACTAGAAAACCAGTCGAGGCCGCCAAGTCCTCCGAACCTGATACCTTTCCTCTCGATGAAGGAACTCCGAAGAAAGACTCGGGAACAGCCCTCGAGTCCCCCGAGATCGAGATCGCACATCCTCCCTCAACAAATACGCCGGAGGGGACAAGTGGTGAGAGGGACGAAGCTAATCAGAGCACCCCGAGTGAGGAGCTCGGGGCCGTGACAATGGGTCACTCACTTTCTCTACCATCTTACTCCGATGAGACAATAAAGGATGCTCGGGCTCTGCGAACACCCGACCCGAGTAAGGTCCTCGAAGAAGACCCTTTCCGGGACTATTTCATCGAGGTTAACGATGTTGTTGACCTTAACGATGCATCCACCCTCTTCGAAGAGGCTCAACGTCTCCTCTATCGGGTAAATACTAACTTTCATTGTTGTAATTTTTTCTTTTCTTCCCTTCCTTTGACTGACATATCTTCATTTCATGTATAGGCCATCGTCAAGTTTTGAGCTGAGCTCAGGAAGGTTTCGGGTGAATAGAAGGCCCTGAGGCTCCTCTATAGCCAAAAGGAGGAGGAGCTTAAGGACCTTTGGGCTGAATTGGCCAAAGCTCGAAAAAACGAGACCGAGCTAGATGAGCAGGTAACTGTGATTTTAGCAGAGTATGATCTTCTTGGCCTTACTTCGGAGGCTAACACTTTGATGTCTCAGCTGCAGCGGAAGTTGGAGATGATTGAGCAGCTCCAGGGCGAGGTTGATCAAGTTCAGATTGACCGCCAACGATGGAAAGAGAACATGGATCGGCTCGCTGCCGATAAGGAAGCCATTATAGCACAACTGACCTCGACTGAAACTCAACTCTGAGGCATTAAAGTGAAGAGTCTGGCCCAGGCCAAGAAAATTGAGGAGTTAGAGGCAGAGCTTGCTAGAGCCCGGGCCGAAGCTGCACAGGCCAAGGCTGAAGTTGAGAAGACGAAGGCTACGGCTGATAAGACCATCGCCGTATACTTAAGGGATGCCGAGGCTGTTCAAGTGGAGCTGAGGGAGGCCTCCGACCGGGAAAAACAGAGTAATGATTTGGCCAAGTGCCAGGCCCGGAGGGAGACTCTCGAAGAAATCCATGCCCGAGGATTTGACCTTACTGAAGAAATAGCCCAAGCAAAGGCACTGGAAATCGATGCCAGGTTTATTATTTCTTCTGATTATGAAGATGCTGTGAGTGGCTCCGAGGGTGGGGAAGGTGAAGAAGGTGTCCCCGAAGAAGAGGAGGTTCCCGAAGATAGAGCTATCGAGGGTGCAATTCTTGAGGATGTTGCTTCCGAGGATGTAACCCCAAAATAGATTAGGTTCTCTTTTTCATTTTTGTGTAAGGGCCCCTCGTGGGCGTTGTAAATATACTTTGTAAAACATCTCTTATGAATATAAAGAACCCCTTTGCTTTATCTTCAATTTGTGTTGAATTCCGTTTCGTCTTCATCTGTGAAAAATTTTATTGTATAACTCTAATGATCAGTCGGAATTTTAGACTTCAGAACATAAAAAACCCTTAGGGTTTTTATTGATTAACATAATACCACTTAAGGTTTTAGTTAATCCTCGAGCTAAGCTTAAATGGATTTGGCGTGTTAATGGGACTCTTGAGTCCGGGTTGAGTGAGAACGAGGTCTCGAACCCTATATGTTTTGGCCCTTAGGCTCTTTTAAGTTGGCCCTTAGGCTCTTATATATCGGCCCTTAGGCTCTTTAAGTTGGGCCAATTCGGCCTCGAAAGCGGCTATATTTTTTCCCTCTTTTCGGTTAAAAGACTTAGTGAAAATTTATCTATGCCTTAGCATATGTTTTTTGTACCCGTTGGGTTTTTCGAAGGTTTGACGGATCGGAACCTTAATTTGTTTGTGTAAACATAATCGAATACCTCATTGAGGTTTTTTTGAAGGCTGATGTTATCGAAGCCTCTAAATTATTCGAGGGTAGATTTTATCGAAGCCCTTTATCTTTGCTTTTGCTGAGGGTAT